TAAGTCTTTTCTCACTTGTCCGCTTTTTGAGAATTTCGGTCTTCCCTAAGGCATCCGGTTCTTAGCTGACAAATCCGGAGGAGTCATTCTCAGACTTCCGGGTGAGAAAGAGATCCGCGCTAGTCTTCCGATTTGGATGACTTAGCCTTCAGCGGGTTGTAGCGAGACATCCGGTTCTTATGTAGTCTTCCGGATCAGAGGATTTTCATCTGCTTGAGAAATCCTTACTTGTCTCTGGCATTTCCGATCAAGATATCCAATTTCCATATCACTGAATTTGATTAGGTCTTCAGGCATCAAAACGCTTAAAGAAATATCACAACTTTATTGGAAATCTCAAGAAATTGGTTTTAACAATATTTCTAAAAAGAAAAATTACCTTGAATATTGGGGGAGACCTAAAGTCCCTATTACATTCTAAATACATCATCATCAAAATCTATGATATTTTTCCCAACATTTTATATGAAAAGGTCCAAAAAAATGGTATGCACCTAAGGTGCACCATAGAAGAACTCAAAAAGATATGATTTAAGGAATGTATAATTTAGAGTCACTTTTCAATTTTGTGTTACTTTAATAGAAATCATCCTAAATAGGACTAAAATATAGACACAAGTATCAAAACTGGACTTTCATGTTTTTTTCTCAAAATAGTACTTTGCACTGTAGTAATGTGTTAATGTACAGTGTAGATTACCATACTTTTTTTGTAATGTACATGAATATGTTTAGTAATGTAAGTCCTATTTTTGTATATTTTAAATATTTTAGTCTTACTTTGGTTTTTCTCCTTTACTTTAATGTAGGGTATGACAATGCAATTAGTAAATTACTACGGGTATTAAATAGATAAGATGAGAGAGACACATTTATAATCAGTAGGTGTATAAAGGAGACTTTAATTAAAAGTAAAAGTATTTAAATTCCAATTTCATCTTAGTGCAATGAAACTATAGTTAAATTAAAGTTAATTCCATTAATAATTTACAACTAAACTAACTTTAATGAGATTATGGATTACAAATGATTTTGAGTCCTCTATTTTTAACTCCAATATTGAGATTTATTTTAACACCAAATTCTTATTAATTACAAAATTTTTAAATATTGTTCCATTTTTATTGGTGAATTTACTTAAATAGCACTAAACATAATGTTTTTTTTAATGTAGCACTTTTAGTCAGTATCGATTAGTCATTATTCAAGTAACCATCACTGGACATTATTCGTCCTTCTATACATTATTAAGTGTTATTTAGGGCATAAAAAAATTTAACTACTATTTAGAGAAATGACTTAAGTTTTAGTGTTATTTAGTGCAAATATTTCTTTTTTATTTTCTTAGTTTCAGATTTATAAAACATGCTCTATATAGTACGCCCTCCGTTCAAAAATAAGATTCTTATTTTGGCTTTTAGGAAAAATAAAGAGTGTATATTTGTAGTTGACTCTCCAATTTTGTTGTTGATATGATATATAAAAAATGGTTTTTTAATAGAAAATGTTTGTATTTTCAAGAAAACAAAAATAATAAAGAAAAAACATTTTAAGAAACGAAAGGGCCTCGTACAAACAAATTTGGAGTAATCCATATTAAATACGGAGTACATTTACCAAAGTACCTTTACTTTTGTTACCAAAGTGGGCGGCTGACAAAATTAATGCGGTGGATTCCAATTTCTAAGGCTTGATGAAGGCCGTTGATGAAATATTCCAAAGCTTATCAACAGTGGATAACTGGACTGGAAAACACTTTTTTTTCTTTTTTTTCTTTCTTGAATTCTTTTACTTTTGTATATAGTATAGATACTTGGCCAACATTCACTTGATTTAAAAAGCGAGACTTAAAATGTATAACGATTTTTGTCACCCATATAAAGTTACTTGGAATCATCATTAAATATGAAGATATTTGTGTCTTTGTAGTTTAAAAGTTCCGTACATTGCTTCCTAATGGCAGACATGCACTCGGATGTTCCAGAATCTTGCATGAACTTGGCAAGTCCGAAATCAGCAACATGAGCTTTATAGTTTGAGTCGAGAAAATTGTTGTTTGATTTCACGTCACGATGAAGGGTCAAAGGGGAGCAGTCGTGATGGAGATAATCAGTCCCTTTGCAGCCTTCATAGCTATCTTGTACCTTGTGTCCTAATGTGAATGCCCACCTTTCTTGCCATGGATCATTTCAGTTAAATCCCATTTGGCATGTACTCATAAACCAAAGGATTTGTCTCATAGTTTGAACAGAAATCTAATAATTTGACAATGTGTCTGTGCTAGATCCTCCCAAGAGTCTGTAATTCTGCATTGAACCCGTGATCATGTGAATCCATGGCTCATGGCTGGAAACCTGTTCACATCAACTTGTTCACCATTAGGCATAAGTCCGTTGTAGATTATATCCGCACCTCCTTTACCAATAAAGTTGTCCTTCTTGAGGTAATCTAGAACGTCATCACAAGTGAAATCTAAGCGCTGGAATGCAGTAAGCTTCCATGCACAAGCATCAATGGCCTTCTCCAAAGAACATGCCTTAATGATTGCCACACGATTTAACAGACAAGCAGCTCAACCATAGATCTGGGTTTCCCAAGAATGAAGTGTAATTGAAATAACTACGGTTCGAGGAAAAATTCCAGACAGATTGTTGTATGCAAATTCGACTGAAGTTAAACCCCGCATAGAGGTAATTAGCAATGGAATGCTCCCAATTAAGTGGTTTCTGGACAGGTTCAAGTAGTTTAATATCCTCATGCCTGTAATCTCAATCAGGATTTCACCAGATAGCTCCTCATGCCTGTAATCTCAATCGAGATTTCACCATATAGCTGGTTCCGGCTGAGATAAACAAATGTCAGCAACTTGCATCTGCTAATCTCTGATGCAATGGTACCAGATAGGCTGTTTAGGTTGAGATCCATATTAGACAACTGATGCAATTTTCCAATTTCTACCGAAATGTGGCCGAAAATTTGTTTCCATCAAGAAGAAGAAGCTTCTGGACATCAACGAAATTTCCAATGCTTTTAATGCAACGGAAATAATTTATTGATTTTTATAAATGTCCAGACTTTAAAAATCAATTAAAAAGAAGGGAAAATACTACTTTAAAATGGTGGCAATGGGAATAAGCATGAAGCTGTAAACGTATGTCAAGAATCCAAAGTTGAGACATTATCCCTACATCTATGAAAAGATAAAGAGAATGGAACATTTTTCCATACAAATTAAAAAGTACGTAGTAAATCATAAAAAACAAACATGGATTACCCTGATCCCCGAAGTCGTGCACCTGTGGTGCGCCTTCCATCGTGCATCGTGTTGTTAGAATTTAATCGTAGGATATGTTAGGGCCGAAACCCTAGCCCGGTGGAGCGGTCATTCATGTCGGCATTGTTATCCCCTTGTGTCATCTCCATTCCAGTGCTAGGGAGCTGCGCGATGGTAAGAAAAAATTAGATTCTGGCGATTGTGCTTGAAGATTTCGTGGATCTGCCACGATTGAATCAGTTTCAAAGACGATAGCCGATCCAAGGGGAGGACGGTGATCAGAATAGAAGAGGATGGAGAAAAGTCAGTTAAACCGTAAATGACGGTTAGGATCTGAAATTGCCAGAAATTGGACCGTCCGATAGCATCTCAAATTGAAATTGCATCGTTAGATTTGGGCCGGGCAGGAATCAATTTTGATTCTACTTTTATATATATGATAGATAATAGAAGTTTTTAAAACCCCTTTAGAATTGACATGTAAATACACTTTACTTTATAAATTTATCCTTGAAAATATTCTGAAAATCTTCTTTATTCTTTAGTAGGAGACAAAGATTCATGCACATCTTAATAAACGAGAAGAGCGAATCTTGAAAATGAAATCAAAGAAGGTGGCATCTTTTGCCATTAGAAATGTGTTTGTCATGATAATTACCTCTCTTGCATGACAACAATGCATCGTTAGTCGTTTGTTATCTACAACAGAACAAAAGTCAAAGAAATTAGTGGAAATGACATTCCAAAAGTAATTTTCGATTTAAAATCCTTTCCAGGCATCCAGTCTCAATTGTGCTTGAGTTTTCAACAATTAATTGGTACAATTAATACCTAAATTGTATTACCTAATAGCGTTATAATTACAAAAGTAAACATGCTAAGATTTAACACACTTCTATTGCTACGTTATTCAAAAAATTGTTTGACGTTCAAAAGTACAAACACACATAAAAAGAGGTGTTGAAGAGAAACTGATGAAAATAACACATGAAGTTCGTTACTATGAGAAAATACTCCTATGAATTGCATAGTATTAAAACAGTCTTAACATTTATTTTATTTCAGGGGAAATCGTTTGGGTTGTACCTTATGGAGAGTAAATTACCTCTAAATGCTATTGTGTTTGACCCAGAATCTATCTGACCGTGTGTGGTATTACTACTGAGCGTAAATTACCTCTAAACGCTATTGTTCTTGCATGTAACACACTAATCCGTCTAGGTCTGCAGCCACTTTCAGACTAAAGTATAAACTTGGTATTCGTAGACATTCAAAATATTTCAAACATTTAAAACTTTATTTCATAATAAATAATTCAAAATAGTAACGGAGTAATTTAATGTTGCGGAAGCTGAATAAAACATAATACAAACATAATAATTTTTTTGTCTTTTAAAACATCAATTCATTTCATATCTCACATGGATTTGCAAAAGGAAAGATCGATTCCACACTTTTTGTCAAAACAAAAGGAAAAGATCTCATAATTGTGCAAATTTATGTTGATGATGTTATTTTTGGGTCAACTAATGAAGCCTTATGTAATGAATTTCCAGGAATTATGACAAGCGAATTTGAAATGACTATGATGGGTGAGTTGAACTTCTTCCTTGGACTTCAAATTAAGCAACTTGGAGATGGTATTTTCATTAGCCAAACCAAGTATGCCAAAGAATTAGTCAAGAAGTTTAACCTTGAAGACTCAAAAACATATCCGACTCCAATGAGCATATCTTTGAAGCTTGACAACGACGAAAGCGGAAAACCCGTAAATGAAAAGGTATATCGAGGTATGATTGGTAGTTTACTTTATTTAACTGCATCTAGACCCGACATCATGTTTTCCGTTTGTCTTTGTGCACGTTTCCAATCATCACCCAAAGAATCACATCTTAATGCCGTCAAGCGAATAATTCGATATGTCAAGGGAACGACCAATATGGGTTTATGGTATCCCAAGAATACGAATTTAAGTTTGATAGGTTTTAGTGATGCTGACTTTGGCGAGTGTCGTATTGATCGGAAAAGAACAAGTGGCACATGTCAATTCATAGGTCATGCACTAGTGTCTTGGTCATCTAAGAAACAACACTCCGTCGCCCTATCCACCGCCGAAGCAGAATATGTGGCTATGGGTAGTTGTGTTGCTCAAATTTTATGGATGATGCAAACACTAGGTGACTTTAGCTTAAAATTTTCAAAAGTGCCTATTTTTTGTGACAATTCAAGTGCAATAAATATTTCCAAAAATCCCGTTTTGCATTCTAGAACTAAACATATAGAAATAAGACATCATTTCATACGTGATCATGTTTCAAAGGGAGATATTCAAATTTCATATGTAAATACACTTGAACAACGTGCCGACATTTTTACAAAACCATTGGATGAAAAACAATTTTTACATATTTGTCGGGAAATGGGAATGCTTGAATTAAAGGAAAATTTAAGGTTCTTATTATCCCATTACATCATAAAAATATATTGATCAAGTCCAAATGCTCAAAACACGTGTCTAGAGGTCGAAACAAAACCTTAAGGCTGAGGCACGGTACCCCTAACGGGACCCAGTACCGCCCACACGGTAGAGCCTACCTTTACTACGGTACGAGGATGCCGTTTGGACGCAGATACCGCCAGAGGGAATTGGGTTTTGGACGTTACACGGTAGCTGGACACGGTAAGGCATACCGTATACACGGTACCAAGGTACCGTTCACACGGTACTGAGGTACCGACCGTCTCTGCGGGTCAACCCACATTAAAAACCCTAAATCGAACCAATTTTCTCAGTTTTGCTCTGCAACTTCCGGCGATTCCTCTCGGCATCTCTCTCTCGTGTTTCGAACCAAGGTAAATTCCTCATCCAAATTCCTAAATTTCTTCAAACATTAAGTTCAATTTCTTCATATACTCTCTTCAATTCGGGTATTTCGTATCAATTTCTCACTTTTTCGCCCAAGATCCTTCTATTCTCAATTTTCTCTCAAAATGAGCGAAATTGTCTCCGACGTTCATGTCGATGCTCAAGAAGGGTTCAAGGCTTACGCCGACCCACATATCATCGAGGGGAGAACTCTTAAACAAGATGACATACCCGTTGTCGTTCTTGAACTCATTCATGAACAAGGATGGAGTTTCTTTCTTCAACTCCACGCCCCCGTTTACCCGGAACTTGTTCATCAATTTTATTACTCATTAAGATACCATAAGCAAGACCCTTCCATTACCGCTGTTGTTGTTGGCAAAACCTTCGGATTCAACACCCAAAACCTTTCTGAGTGGTTCCACATAGAGCGTCAAGGAGTCTCCTCTTATTGCAAAAAGGGGTGGATTTCCGACTCACAAGACTTCAACGCGGATTTTTGCCTACGTGTTCTCAACAATATTGCTCTTGACCATGTCTTTGAGGACCCGGACTATTTCCTTCGTCGGCCCAACGTCCAAGACTTGACCGCAAACGTTTCATTCTTCTCAAAATCCTCAAGGAAAATGTCATCCTCGTCCTTAAAAAAGATAAACAAGTTGGGATTTATGAGTGTACTCTTCTTTACCTCCTCCTCACTCACAAGAAAATCAATCTCCCATCCATCATCATCCAACACATGTACGAGAGCTCGGGTCGCCAAAACAAACCCTATGGCATGCTTCTTACCCACATCTTTGCCAAGAGGGAAATTCTTGAAATGCGCCCGTCTCGCGTCCGCTATCTTGATGCGGAGTGCCTTGGGTATTATGGCCTCGTAAAGATCGGAGAGGAATACTACATGAAGAAGGAATTCCAAAAGCTTGATGCGGCGACACGAGCGGAGTATGGCCCTCGACAATCTATGTCATCCTTGCCTTCCACTTCTCAAGCACCCGAAGCCAAAGCCGAAGACAATACCAACACAGAGATCCCCGTTCGTGCTCCCCGGGTCAAACGCTCAAAGTCGGCGTCTCATGCTTCCTCGGCCTCTCTCTTGCATCGTCACTCCCAAATGGCCTCCAATTCCAAAAATCTTTTTAAGAAGTTCAAAAAATTCATCCTCAAGACCGTGGTGGCTCCGATGAGGAAACTTCAGGAAAGCCTTGATGACCTCTCGGATCGGATGAAGAAGATGGAGGACTGTGAGAATCGCCAAAAGCAAAATGAGGATCGTGCTTCTAGACGTCGTCGCTAAGTGTTGGGCATTTGACAAAATGATCAAACATTCTCTTATTTATGTTTTCAAAACAATTATTTTGTTTTATGTTTCAAAACTTCTTATCATGTCTTATATTTAAAACTCGTATTTATGCACTTTTATGATTGAAAATCCCTTTGTTTTGATTGCTTATGGTTTGATGATGTTTGTGATTGTAATACCCCAACCCGCGTAACCCAAACCCGTGAGGCAGCGGACCGGTGTGCCACTGGATTATGTTAGAATAAGTGCCCTTCACTAGAGGGGGGGGTGAATAGTGAGGCACAAGAATGTTTATAAATTTTCGCGGAATAAAAATCACAGGGATAAAGTAAAGAGCGGAATAAAAAGGAGTAAAGGGAGCACACCAAGATTTACCCTGGTTCACCACAACTTGTGGCTAATCCAACCTCCCGAGAGACTCTCTCGAGCTACACTACTTCCGTTAAGCTTACGGGTGCTTAACAAACCGTTACAACCTGAGAACTCGAGTCCCACGAGCCTCAATACACTTGCTCGGAGATACCGCACTCCAAGACTTCAACCCGAAGGAAAATACCTTTCCTTCGTACAACCAAGGGAAACAAGCTTCCCTAAACGTGTTTACAACACTAAGACTACTCAAGAACAAGACTCTCTTTAAGAGTAGATGTTGAGTAACTATATACGCTCAAGAACAACTCAAACTTCACAAATTGGCTCTAGAAAGCTATGGAAAATAATGTTGTTTGGATGCAATGATAATATGAATAAAGTGAAGTGAATTGTTGATAAAAGCAGACCCAAACACCCCTTTTTATAGTGCCAAAATAGGCTCCAACGGACCAATGCATTAAAGGGGTGATTGGCTTGATTTATGGGATTGAAAAGATTTGGGATCTGCAGAATATTGGCTTCCCAGCGATGTATGGACATGTACGACGGTTGCTCTTGGAGCAACCGGTCATCCGGCGGGATAAAGCCCCCACCCACAGACCGGGAAAGTGAGACCACTTGTGCCGTGGAAGAAGAAGGGGCACAAGTGGAAGCGTCGACCGACGTTTTCTGCGGAGAAGTAGCCTGGCGCTTAGAAGAAGAAGAAGACTGGGAACTGGAGGTCTGAGACCGTGTAGCGCCCCGAAATTAGGCCTAAAAGAATTAATTAATTTATTAATTAGTTAAAGACTGAGGCAGACCCGAACACTGAAAAATAAAAGTTTCCAGAAAAATATTTTAATTATATCAAAATTCTAGTTTTGACAATCTGATTCCAAAAACGCGACCCGTTTTCAAAACGGAATAGTTTGGGCGAAAAAGCGCGTACCGTTTTAGCCAGTTTATCAGTTACGGAGTAGTAGAATATATTTGATTCCCCAAACCCTCCAAATCACGTAGAGACACTCCCCCCATCTCTTCCAATCCTCAATCAAACCACATTAGGACCCCACCACCACATCCTCACACATTACCACCATCATCCATCCATCATTCACCCCATCACCATCCTCTCCCTCTCTCGGCAGAAACTCAGGAGGAAGAATTCTCAACTCCATTGTTGAGCCAAGGGAAGAAGAAGGAGCAAGAAGAAATATCAAAGTTTTCTAAAATCCTGAGTGAAAAACGCAGCAGCAACTTCTTCGTAAATTCTGTAATTCTCTATTCATTTTCTCGAATTATTTATTATACCAAAATCGTAGCCCCGGATGTTACGAATCTAACCCAACAAACGGTTCGTGATTCCGTTAAGTAACGAAGGAGATATCGCCAAA